AAGCGACGTACCAGCAAAACATCGGTTTACGTTTCGAGCAGCCCTTACAGTGCGCGAGAACCAAGTTGTTTGTTGGAAACCCTTGCTTTACGTCGAACGGCCGGCACAGGCCGCGAGGACCCACAACTCGACACCAATCCATTTCAGCTGTGCTTTCTGGAGAAATATTTGTTGCTTACATGTCGAGCTGCGAAAGGAAGCAGAGAGCAAGAAAGCCCCCCTTGAGGGGGGCTTGGGGGGTGAACCCTAAACCCTAATTGAGAATCGTTGGGGTGGTTGGGGCGGGACTACATGCTGACGCAGGCGCGCGATTAGTGGGTGCGCCCCTATTCCTAAAGTAAAAGGCGCACCCACCGCGCGCATACTGTCTACACACCCTAAAGCCCTAAACCATAAAACCCTAAAGCCTTAAACCCTAAAACTCTAGTCTAAAACCCTAAAACTCTTTGTTCCCTAAACCATAAAACCCCAAACCCTAAACCCTAAATACCCCGAAACCAAAAGGAGCCTCTGAGGTGCGGGCCAGGCGCCTGGCGTTGGAGAGTCCGAGACTGGCGGCCAGCCCCCAGAGGTTGCTATGGGCCCTTTTTCTTATAGTGTAGGTTGAGGGTTTCGGGTTTAGGGTTTGGGGTTTGGGGTTTAGGGTTTGGGGTTTAGGGGTTAGGGTTTGGGGTTTAGGCTTTGGGGTTTAGGGGTTAGGGTTTGGGGTTTAGGCTTTGGGGTTTAGGGGTTAGGGTTTCCTTTTTTTTAGGGGTACTATGGGGGCTAACAGTTCGAAATAGGGTTCCTTTTGAAGGGTTCTAGAAAGGAAGAGGATCCTGGGCTGTAGGGTTTGGGCTACGATAATGGTTCTATACTATAGGGCTTCAGTATAATTAGTGATACTATTTTAAGGGCTCCTTGTTATAGATATAATCATGGTATAGTATACACCAAACCCTATTCTAATTCGTACAAGGCCCCTAAACCATACTATTTTTGGGGCTCCTTTTTTTGTACAGCCTAGTATACCCCCAAACCTTATTCTAAGTACTAAGGCCCCCCAGAGGTCGGCTGGTGAAAGGGCTCCAAGGGTTTAGGGTTTAGGAGTAATCCCAAAGTAAGATTGCTTCTGTAAGGGATCCTTAATCCTGCCTACCTTCATTAGGGTTTAGGAGTAATCCTAAAGTAGGAGTGCTTATAAAAGGGATCCTTAATCCTACCTACCTTCATCCCACCTTTTTCTTCAAACAATTTCAGGCCCCCCAGACGTGGAGGGAGGGTTGGGCTTGGGAGTTAGGGTTTAGGGTTCAGGGCTGCGCATAGAACCATATAACCATAGAAGCCCGGTATGACCCCATAAATGCCCAGAGAGCCACATGAAGCCGTACAATGCCCTGCACCACCCTGTAAAGGCGTCAAAGAAGAAGAATTGTGGACCCCTTTAAAACCCGGATGCAACATGACAAAGCCTCATAAACCGCCTATAGAACCTTAGGAAACTCTCCAAAGAGACTTCAAAACTCCTAAACAAAGGAGTTTAATGTACCATACATCATACTGTAAGGATCCCTCCATAATGTAAGGCGTCTTTCTTCATTAGAAACGGTTTCGGAATATGATTCAAGGCGTCTTCCTTTCGTAACTAAAGGGGTCTTGGAGCCTCAAGGTCCCCAAAAACCTTGACGACGCCTCACTCTATGTGGGAGTTTCCGAAAATTAGGGGACGCTAATACAGTACCCTAAACAGTAGGATCCTTATTATAAGGACCCCAACATAAGGTACCGGAAACTCCCATGTCATTACGGCTTTCGTACTTGTTGATGGCCATTAAACGGTTGTTTCTATCATTATGTCTTGTTTGTTGATTTATTTGCCTTCGTAGTTTTCAGCAAAATATACATATTCTTACTAAAGTATACATACTCTCCATATTATAAATATTCCATAAACGCCGCCGCTTTCTCGGCTTCGGCTCTCCAGCGCTGAGCTTTGCGCCCCGCTTCGATTCTATGAGCCTCGGCTGCTGTTTTTTTGTACTCGTTTTTATATAATATGATGTCTCCTCAGGGTTTAGGTTTAGGGTTTGGGATTTGGGGCTTTAAGTTGAGTCAAGGGTTCGGGTGGGGTTTAGGGTTTCGGGTTACTTAAATGGGTTCCCTAAAGGAGTTCCTTAAAGGGTTCTACAAGGGATCTATAGGGGTTTAGGGTTTCCGGTTTTTGGAAGGTCTGGTAAGGTTGTAGGCGTGGCTAGTTTTCGGTTGTAGAAGTGCGTGTCTTGGGGCTTGAGATAGCGTCTTAGACGCGTCGGGGGGTTGAGGATGTGCAGTTTGGTGTCTAGGAAAGATCTGCAGGGATCTTTGGGGTCTGTGAATGTTAGAACGAGTGTCGATGGTTTACAGGTTTGTATACGGGCTTGGTATTTGCTATTCCCACAAAGCGGAGTTTCGTGTTAAGAGAGTAAGTCCTTACCGAAACCTTGATAAACTATTCTTATCAGACCCGATACGATCTGAATCAGAGCCCTACTGTTCTCTATCCATGGCTCCACTACCCCGAAACCGTAAAGCCTAAACCTACCCCTTTAGATCAGGGAACCCCCTCCCAATGATTAATGCCCCTGTACTAGAGAACCCTACTCGGATCAGGGCCCTACTACCCTAAACCCTAAACCCTAAAACCCTAAACCCTAAACTACTGTTGATGATATAAATCCTGCATGAGCTTAAGGACCCTAAACTATGGGAGTTATGGCATATTCCTTACTATGGGTAGTGCAGGATTCATACCATCAACCGTACCTCTATAGATCCCATGAAGAAACCCTAAACCCTAACCCTAATATAGGCGCCTTACTAGTTACCTTTACTATTCTGGGGGTTCCTTATTATATTTATAGTATAGTGGGCCCCAAAACCCTATTCTAATGATTAAGGCCCCGATGTTGCTCTGCTGCTTAGGGCCCCCTACTTGGAGGGTCGGGGGACTTAGTAAGTAGGTAGTAAGTAGACTTATAAGTACCCTAAAAGGACCCTAATTGGGGTTATGGTACTTATAAGTCCTTAAAAGAACCAGTTACTAAGTCCCCCGACCCTCCAAGTATATTCGGACTCTGGAATCTGGCTCGAGGCATCCTATGCAGCGGGCACGGTGGTCAGCCAAGGGCCGAGCTATTTTTTGGGGGCCCGCGATGTTGGGAGATTTTGTTGAACAGGCTTTTGGGTACAAGGGACAGAGAGCCCTGAATGTGGGATCCCATTATCATTTTCGGTTAATACTGTTACAGTTATGTTTAATTACATTCTCTTTATTGGTATTCTTGTTAGTGGTATTAGTATTGTTGCAAGGACCACATAATTCGGTGTTCAGGTGTGTTGGTTGCAAGTCGTTTTTGTTGAGACTTGGAAAGTTCAGACATCCCCAGAGTTGGCGTGTAAAGTGCTCGGTGCGTTAGAGGGGGCCCCCACCCTGTAATAGTGGTATAATAGGAATATAATAGGGCCCTAATAATCCCTAATATAATCCTTATGGTCACTATTACAGGGTGGGGGCAGCTCCTAATCGATGCGGTTCTTTTTCTCGGACCTAGAGTAGGCCCTTATTCCCCTCTTTTAGGGTTCAGGTTCCCTTATGAGCCCCTTTTATTCCTAGGTTACTCTTGGGTCTAGTTCTGATGGTTTTGGGATTTTGGGCTTTGGGGTTGAGGGCTTAGATTCAGCAAGAGCCCCTTGAAGATCAAGGTGGCCTGACGGCGCGGTCCACACGAAATCACATGAGCCCGAACCAACAAGCAGGATCAGGGTTTGAGAAGCTTGCGTGGTTGGTGCGGTACCAGCAGCTGCTACTGGGTTTTGGCGGGTTCAGAAGCTCAGTTTCTGCTGAGGCGAACGGTACGGCAACGCGATGCCGGGAGTCGGGCCCCCGAAATCTAAAGGGGTTCAGAGTTTAGCAAGAGCATTAGGGTATAGTCTTTAGGGCTCAGGGTTGAGGGTTTTGGGTTGGGTTTGATTTTTGTTGTTGGTGTTGGGTGCATGGTTTAGGGCTTAGTTAGACTTGACCTAACCCAAAGAAACTCCTTAAGGGCCCTGAAATTGCAAAGGGTCGGAAGCGACACCATGTATTTTCAGGGGATTCTCCATCGCAGACCTTGGCGATGTAATGCATAGCTGCGACAGACGAAGCCGGTTGAAGACGCGGTACATAGAGAGCCCAATACCACTTAATTATGCAATATACCTTAAATTATAAGGGGCTTCATATTATGATTTGAGCTATATATCCCTCAGTTAAGGGGTATTGGGCTCCCTGGGAGGTTGAACTTCTGAGTGCATGATAAACGGGCTCCAGGAATTCGCAGGAGACGCCAGTGGTTCCAACGAAGGATATTGGCTGGGGATTTAGGCAGTTGGACTGTATGAGCCAGCAGATCCAGCCGAACAACGCACTGCATCGTCCTTAGGGCGTTCTCTGCTGCTGTAGATCTTTTTCATAGTATACAAATTATTTCTATTGTGGTGTCTCGTAGTATACTGTCGTCTACTAGGGTATATTATACAAGATTACCTTGTCAAGCTCCCTAAACTCCCCGGTGTGCCGAAAGTACGGGCCTCGTAGACCTTCGGGTTTAGGGTTTACCTAAAGGATCATGGGACTTAGTAACTAGGGTGATACTTAGGGTAACTATACTTTATAACCCCAATTAAGGTACTTATGACCTTACTTACTAAGTCCCATGATCCTCCAAGTAGGGTTTAGGGTCCCGCATCCTCCCATAAGTTACCGCCCTAAGCTCCCCAAATCGCCCAACCTATGTCCCCTAAACCCAGAACCCTCCCGGGAACTGCCCGAAACCCTAAAGGCTAAGTTTGAAACTACAGCTACCTACAGGAAAACACAAGCCCCGCGCAACAGCGGCGGTCCCGCCTCGATGCGGCCTTTTTGCTTGGACCAAAAGCCTCCGTGATTCGGCTCCTGACAGGCGTGAGATGCGAGGGTTCTCCAGGTGAATGCCCGAAACAAATCAAGACTTTGCACTGTTGTCAAAAGTATAAGGACTGGGAATGCCAACATTAACACACCGCTTCACACTGGTCTTCCTCCCGTCTCGAAAAACCTTGCTGGCTAAGCCAGTCTTCTCCACTATGGAGATCGGGATCGTGAGAGCTTGCCTCACCATAGACCACCAGACTTTGGGGTCTTGAGGCTTCGTCAAGATATCGCCCAACTGCAGACCGCTCGGGATCCATGCCAGAGGGAGATGCTCGGTCCAGCGCTCTTCTCGCAACGCTTGGCGCAGAGCGGCAAGGTCTATGGCAAGACGACGGTCCGCGGGAGTCCTCGGGACTCCCTCTCTGTGCAAATGGTCGTAAAGCGACCTGCAATCACTCAGACACACCAGGGGCATGACGGCGTCTTCGATCTTCACAAGGCTGCCGGTGGAGAGGGTTTCGTAGATCGCTCGTACGTACTGACCTCCTTCAAGCCCTTCTACACACGCTTGGGTCTCAGCGCTGAAAGTGCTGCGGCAAACTCGTTGTCCTGCTCGGGACTTCCAGTCGAGGATGGATCCTCGCCCACTCCCGCCGGTGATGGCCTGCATGTCCGCGATCATCACCAGCTCGCCGAGTTGAGAGGCCACTCGAGAGTTGCCTCTCTTCGCCTTTCGACCGTTCCGATGGGAAGGAGGTCCTTCCCGTTGCAGCCCGTTCAGCTTATCGTCCTCGTAGAGCTCGAATCCCTCCTCGTCGTAGTCGCCCTCGTAGGCATCCGCCCAAGCCGCGTCGTGGTAGATCAGAAACACTGCCTCCTTGTTGTCCACCTTGTAGAAGACCAATCCCTCCTCGGAGTGCTCAGTCGCCTTCTTGGAGATCCCATTGGTAAACTTGACGTCACCGTACGTGGGGCACTTCTGTAGTTGCTGTGCCATAGACACCGAACACGTCAAATCGGGCCTCGATTGAGCTGAGACCCAGCTCAACGCCCCGATCAAGCTCCGGTTGTCGGCGAGGCAGTCGTTGTCCGCCAGGTCATCTTCATGCACGTTCTTGGGGAGGTCGATCGTAAAGAGGCGGCTGTCGATGTAGGGCTTCTGCCTGAAGAGCACTGAGTCCTCCCTGCAGATGATCTCAGATCCAAGGTAGGCGAACTCGTCGTCTTCCCAGGAATCGACCGGGAAAACCTTCGAGAGCTCGCTCTTCACCGCATCGCCGACGGATCTCGGAGCGACCACCAACAAATCGTCGACGTGAGTACCGACGTAGGCAACCGGGGGTCCGGACATCTTGCCATCGACGACTCTCCGGAGGATGAAGATGCACGGGTCCAGGCCACATTGATCGAAGATGTGGTCGGCACCCTCGATGGTAACTGTGGCCCCTTTTATTCCACTCTGTAGGTCACCCCACCACTCGTGTGGGCTCGTAGCGAGCCCGAAGATGTTCTTCTTGATACGCACCAGTTGACGAGGATGGAGTCCGGCAAAGCCTGTGGAAGGCTGATGCAAGAAGAGCTCTTCTTCGCGTCGCAAGTACCCGCCGGTCAGAAAGGCACATCGTATATCCCCGGCACTGGCCCGCCAGGGGTCACTTTCGCCCAGACCGTTGGCGAGCAACTGCAGAAGGCACATCAGCCCAGGACGGGACAGTGTAGGAGCATCGGTGGACAAGCCGTTGGCCAAGTCTGGATCAGTATGTCCAGCGATTACAAGCCTCGCTTTACACTTTCAGGGCGTCGACTCATCGGTCCTGCGCTTTGACCAATTCTTGTCCTTGTACGCCCATCGGGATCTGAGAATCCTGGATGCATCGACTTGCTCCCTCACCCGGTCGCTGTCCGCGACGCTGAGGGGCTCCAGGGCGTCAAAGTCCAGGTGCTCCTTCCATTGCGTTTCCTCGGCCTCTTTGAACTGGGGCCGGGCGTCTCGTGGGATCTCGTCCCACCTAAGTTCCTTCTCCTGGCGCTTCTCGACGCCACGCTGCGTCAGCTCCTTCTTGGAGAAGTAGGTCTCGTTCACGTCTTTGTCATCGTCCACAATGTCGCCGGGCCTTGTCTTCCTCTTCAATCGTCTCAAAGGCGGAGGACCAGGTGGTGCAGGATCCGGAAGCTCCACGTCGCTGGGAGAGTAGTCGGAGAGGTGGTCATCGGCCACCATTTGATCATCACTTCCAAGTTCCATGGCGTCGAGTTTCTCGGCGTCGTAGGTCTCGTCAGCATCAAAGTCCATCTCCAACAGCTTCTCGACCTCGGCTTGGGCACCTTTGACCCGTAGGTATTCTCCGACTTCCTCAGGACCGGAGGGACGTAGATGTTCAGCAGCGGTGAGGCGGCATCGCCCATTCTTGGAAATCCAGTAGTTCTCTCCTTCACGGCCGACCACAACGGCCGGTCCGGCCCATCTGCCTCGTCGGCGGTTCTTGGGTTGGTCCCAGAAGTGCACACTCTCTCCAACCTCAATGGGCCTCGTAGTTGTGCGGGCCCGCTGCAGAAGGGCCTTTCTCAGACGACTGTCTCCTTGAGCATGGTGGAAGGCGAGACGGGCCGCTGTCCGGATAGCGGTGGCCCTCTGGTATTGACTCTCTGGAGTCACGTCCCAGGTAACCTTTTCTCCGCCATCGGGGTCAACAAGTCCAGCTGGAAGCCGAGGATGGCGTCCAAAGACCCATTCAGTCGGAGTGTGTCCGCATCGGCGTCGGAGCTCGTTCTTGGCGCTGGAAACAATGCTAGCGGCGAGATGCACCTCGTCCTTTGTGATGGACAGCTCGTGGCGGACTCTGTCCCATATATTCTTCCACCAAGCACCTTGTCGTTCTGTGATGCCTGCTTGCCAGTGGGCTTGCGCAGCGACGTTCTTCACAGCAATGTTGTGCCACTCGCAAAGCCGACAAATGCCCTTTTGGACCGCGCCGTCCAAATCCAATGACACCGTCTTTGGCGGTCCGAAAGGCACGACCCACTGATCGTTGAAGGCCTTCTCGATGTCCTCGTTGTCGAGCCCAGACAGGGGGATAACGATGTGGTAAGATGTCCCCCAGTCGACAATGGAAAGGAAGGTGTGCCTCACGTCGTCGATGTCGTGGTGGTGCAGGAGGTCCGCACCAACGCAGTCGTTGAAGTCGTACATGCGTGGCACCGCACTCGGTCTGGCAATTCGGGGACCAGAACAACTGGCACAGACTTCGCACTTCATCCCTTTGGCGGCTTTGAGCACTGCATCTTCACAACCGGCTAGTCGTAGATGTCGCACAAGGTCTTCACGTCGGGGGTGGCCGAGGTTCTGGTGTAGTCGGCGAAGTGAACTCTGGATGATCGGACTCACCCCGGCTTCAAAAGTGATAGCGCTCCCATCATGGCGCTGCTCTTTCGCTTTGACAGAACTGCTGGCCTCTTCCTCTACCACGAACACTTGGTGAGGATGCCGAGGGTCTCCGACTTGTTGCTCGCCAGGCCTTTGAACTCCAAACCCGGCCCATCTTTCACCATGTTGATCTTGATAGTTCCATAACAGACTCCCGGCGAACTCCTTCAGGGCGAAACTCGGATCGCCTCCTCGAAAGACCACACTTCCACCTTCTCCGAGCTGCTCCTTAGCCAGGGCGAGGATCTCCTTCTTAAAGTCGTCGGGCATCTCTTGGAGATTGATCCGCAGCTCCTTGGGTGAAGCTGCCTTCACGAAGTGCACCGCATCCTCTCGTCGACGTGGGATGCCGTAGTCCTCCCACGTCATGGGTTCGATCACAGCCTTCCCGAGCTCCACCGCCTCATAGGTAGCGTCGATCCCCCCGATCTCGAACATCACGATGGGGTCGACCTGTACGTCTGGCAGGCGTTCGCACATAAAAGAGCTGGCTGCGCACAACAGGGTCGTCATCATCACGCTCAGACGACCAACGGTATTGGCCAGCATATTCCTGATGCTCTTCTTTGGCCTCCGTGTGGAAGGGGAAGAACGCACTCCTCGTAGCTTGGGGAGCGGGTAGCCAACGTTGTTGAGCACCTTGCAGCACACTTTGCTCGCTTTGATCACGCCGCGGGTGGTGTGATAGGTCACACTCCAGCGATCTCCTTCCCATGGACAGGTACAGTGGTGGTGGTGCGGATTGAAAGCGAGGAACTTCTCCTTGGTGGATCGGGTACGTCCAGGTAGCCATGCGCCACCACGACTTCGCTTCCAAATGAAGTTGCCGTGCTGCACGCTGCCCTCGTCGATATCCTTGTCCTCCAACCAAAGATCGCCTCCTGCACTTTGACCAAAGCTACACGTGTAGTTCGCAGTCCCTTGTAGGTTGTTGTAGTCGCGATGGACCCCAGCCTCCACATTCTTCCCGACGGTCACCGAAGTCCATGTCTCGCCGTTATTCATCTTGGTCACCCCAAACGAGTTCAGGTAGCGGGCAAGATGGGGCCTCTCGACGGTGAGCTTTGTGATCCCCTGCACGCCCCCATGGGTGAAGAGCCCGAAGGTGAAGTAGTTGTGCATCTTGACTTCGGGGTCGCTGTCGTGGAAGGGAATCCCTCGATCATTGCGGCGGGGTTTCAAGTCGGAGTTCTCGAGGATACGCTGCAGGGTCGCAAAGCGGAAATCAGCTCGCTCATAGGCTTGCTGGGCGAGTTGTTCTCCAAGCGGAAGATCTTCACGAGCTCCTGCGGGGTTCGCCGTGGTCTTGAACACGTCGTGCTGATCGCTCAAGGCCTTCGTGAGGTCGCCGTCGACGAGTACGTCTTCAAAAACAACGGCAACTCCACAACAGCCCTCTCGCGGGAACTTGCCCGCGAACTCCTCAGCACTCAGTTGTCCCCGCCCCGGGTCCTGGCCTTGTCCTTCAACAGGGCCAAGCGTAGCTCCAACTTCTTGATCTCCTCGGCCGTCTCCTCGTCGATCTCGTCCTCCATCACCTCCTTGGTGGTGCTCGGTGGGCGCCTCTTCGTGTTGGTAGTAGAACTCGTCCCGGGAGGCAGCGGCATCTGCCTTCCTTGATCTGAGGTCGCCGTGCGAGCTGGATTCCAGCTCGTCTCCCAGCAGTGACTGGTCACTGTGTCCCACGAGCCCGCTTCCGAGCTCGTTGCCGTCGGGATTGCCCGGTGGCTCGCCTGGTCGATCGTCGCGACGTAGCCCTTGTTGTTCGCCTCCTTGTTCTCCCACCAGCGCGCATAGCGGACCAAGTCGGGGTCCGCGGTCTTGGAGGTCTTCACTTCGTTGCTGGCCCATTGACCGTATTGCCACGGTATCTCGCGGAACTCCATCCCGCGAAACTTGCCGATCTTCATCAACTCGTTGTCCGGTGTGTTCAACGAGTCTCTCACCAAACGTAGAAGATTGCCCTTGGTGATCTTCTCCGGGAAGGCAACGTCGAGCTCGCGGGCTTTCAACTTGAGCTCCTCCATGGTGAGGTGGGCGAGCCGCTTCATCTTCTCGGTGGCGTCGCCATCCTTCATCCTCTCCCTGTGTTCCATGATCACGGCTTTGATCTCCTCCGAGCTCCACGACTTGTGGACGGTGAGGCCGAGGCGAATGCATTCTGCAAGAAGTTGCGGTTTCGTCATCTTGCTGATCGCCACGGGGGGATTGCATGGTGAGCTGTCCATCGAGGGCGCGACGAGTGGCTCCGAGAGTTTGGGGTCTCTTGTCAAAGACAGTCCTGCCGATCCACAACAGCGGCATGGTCGACATACATGGTGTTCCGCCCTTCCATGGATCAACGACTGTCTCAAGCCACCTCTCGGAACTGCAGCAAACAGCTTCTGTACTCCTGACATCACCGAGCGTCGACAACAGCATACTCTTTAGTACCGTAGACGACGTGTTCCACAAAGCTGGACTAAACAATGCTCTTCTCGGGGTAACATGAACTCTGATCCACGAGGTCTCGGTTTCTACCCAAAAATCTCCCCCAACTTCACACTGCTTCCACCATGTCATAAAGTCATCACGGCAAAGGTGAGTTTGGTTGAGCATGTTCTTAACTTCGGGGGGAAGTTTCTTCTCGTAGTAGAGGTTGTAGAAGTTCTGGGGCTTAACTCCGGAAAACGCAACTGCATGGACCGTGTATTGCACGCGGGGCTCGAGGCTCACATCTTCGACCGGCAAGACAGAATTGAACCCGTGAGCCGGCTTTGCAGGCACAATCGGGATCGCAGGGTGCCCCGACGCAGTGGCGAGGAGCTTGTAGTTCCTCAGCCCCACATGTGTAAAATCAGCACAACCGACCGAAACATCATAGATCATCCCCATCTTGCCTAAGACCGTCTTGGACAGAAGCAGGGGCACATCTCCCGGGATAATAGAGGCTCGAAGCTGTACGATCTTGTCACCAAGGGAGAAGGAAAGCAGCACGCTGAACGACGAGTAATGAATGCGCCCCGTCCCGAACTTGTAAGCCTCACACTCCTTAGAAAGCTCAGGTTGGGCGCCGTCCTCGCCGATCCGGTCCATGTACTCCTGAAGCCACTGAGTGCCAGCAACAGTGCGAGAGCAAGCAGTGTCTGTGATCCCCAAGAGCAGGCCGCTCACGTGCTTCACCGTCATGACTTCGGCCGGCATCGTCACACAGACCTCTTTGACGGAAGCGTTTTGCCTGGTACCCTGGTGGTCCTTTGCGCCAGCGTTGTTGGGGCACTCATCGTCTTTGTGCCAATGACCTCGCCTCCCACAGCCGGAGCAGAACGACCTGGCTTTGATCTGCTTCAGCTTCTCATCACGCACCTTAGCGGCGCTCCCGGCGCCGTCTCCTCCTTTGCCACCGCCTGAGCCGCCATCGTTGTTCCCAATCTCGCCCTTGAAGCCGCGAGCCTTGCTGTGCTCGCGGTACTTGTTCTTGGCCGTCTGGTAGGTGACATAGGCGACCGCGACTTCTTCAGGCATGCACTCTTCACCATCACCATCCACCATTTCGCGTCCTGAATCCTCATCGGCATCATCGGGGTGGTCGGTGACATGTGCCGTGTAAGGTTTGCGACCACCCTTTGCAGTTGACTCCCAAGGTTTCCGGAGTCCTCTGTCCTGGATGATCGCTGCTTTCTGGAGCTTGTTCAAGGAGTAGACGTTGCCCACGCTCGCAAGGAGATTGAGTTCGGCGCCATCTTCGAGTTGGAGCCGGTCTACATACAACCAAGCAGCACATTCCTCCGGCAACATGCACCCGACTTCCTTCAGGCGTGCGTGCAACCTGTCATATTCCGCATTGTAGTCGCGTATAGACTGTCCTGGACGACGGCGAAGCTTGCGGAACATCTCGGACAGGGCCTTGCCGATTCTGGTCACCTCGAGGTCCAAGTACCTGTTCCGCAACCAACTCATCAAGTAGTGGACGCCGTCGCCCCTGCTGAGGGCGTCTACGTTCAACTCCTCAGCCGCGACCCAAGCTTTCCCGGTCAAATGGCGGTACAACACCAAGCCCTGCTGGTTTGGTGGCAAGTAGGTGAGTCGCCGCCATGCTTCAACTTGTCGAAGATAAGACCGAGCAGACGTCCCCACATCATCATCATCACCTCCGCCGAAGGTGGGCACAGAGAGCTTCTCTGAGGGCCGCGGGTTGCCGCCCTTCTGGCCTCCGGAGTCGCCGGAGCCGGACTGGAAGCCGCCATCACCATGAGTAAAGTGCTTCCATCCACTCCAGACTGGGTCACCTTTGCCAGGAGAGCCGACGAAGCTCCCATAACGATCTTCTTGCGGCGGGTCGTGCCATGCGGACCCTCCGGCTCGACCATCCGCCCAGGGATCGCGCCATACTCCTTCATAATCGTCGTGGTCAGAACGATGATCTCGGTCGTCGTCGCCATGCTCGTACCACCCGTCTTCATACCGGTGGCCACGTCCCCAGGAACCTTCATGTCGCGTAGAGGCCTCAGTGCTGTAGGCGTCCCAGCTTGTAGTCCAGCTGGACCTTCGTCCTTGCTCATCACCGCGGTAGGATCTATTCCACGACCAGTCCCAACCGGCCCTTGGCTCCCACCACGTCACATCACCGGAGTAGTCGTATCCCCACTCCTCTCCAGTGCTCTCGTGTCGCTCACTTCCCACGGACACTTCCTGCTCCGAGGCGGCAGGTTCATCATCACCGCGAGCTCCCGGCGGAACATCACCAGGGACTTCAACACCGCTCGACATTGCTACAGCAAGAACTACAGACTACTGGAGCACACTAGGCTCCGCTACCAATTTGAAACTACAGCTACCTACAGGAAAACACAAGCCCCGCGCAACAGCGGCGGTCCCGCCTCGATGCGGCCTTTTTGCTTGGACCAAAAGCCTCCGTGATTCGGCTCCTGACAGGCGTGAGATGCGAGGGTTCTCCAGGTGAATGCCCGAAACAAATCAAGACTTTGCACTGTTGTCAAAAGTATAAGGACTGGGAATGCCAACATTAACACAGGGCTTCACACTAAGCCCTCAACCTTCCCAACAACTTAAAGAGATAAGGCCACCTCCAACGCCACCTAAGCCCCAAAGCCTCCAGGAACTTGAAACCCTAAACCCTAAACTCCCAAACCCTAAACTCTAAGCTCGTAAACCCTAAACCCTAAACCCCTATACCCTAAACCCTAAACTCCTAAACTCCAACACCCTAAACCCTAAACTCCAACCTCAGAGGTTGACACGGGGCTCGGCACCGAGAAGTCACTGGGCTGAGCCTTTAAGGGTTCCTTTATTAAAGGGACCTATAAGGGTTCTATAAAGGGTTTGGGGTTTAGGGTTTAGAGTTTCCGAAAATCGAGCTGTGACAAATTGCCCTGGCATTCCAAAGCCGAAGCTGCGGCTGCGGTTTGGGGGCCTTATACGAATTAGAGGAGGGTTCTGGGGTATAGTATACTATAATTACAATAAGGAACCCCAGAATAGAAAAGGCAATGATTCAGGCCCTTCTATTACATTCTTCAAGGTTTCGGAGTACTGAGGCCCATGTCATGTGGGAAGTTGTCTTCGGGCACGTGAGGCTTTCGGTTTTGGAGCTTGAGGTCTGGAATCTGGAGTTTGGGGTTGGGCTAAGGTTTAGGCTTTGGGCCTGAGGTTCAGAGTTTAGGGTTTGGACCCTTCCGTTCTGTGCTCTTCCAGGTACATCTTCCTGGTGCGTCACGCGCAGAGCACCTGGAACAGGGAAGTAGAGTCTCATCTGCAGAAGCCGCCCCCTACATTAGGGGTTTCTACGTAATATAGAAGCCCAAATAACTACCACGATTATTCTTAGGGTTCCCAGCCCAAAGCCCTAGTCTAATAGTCTAATTATCTCGGTCCCTATATGGGTGGTTGTCAATATTAAGGTCCCTTTTGGGTCCTTATTATAATACGGCACCTATTATTTAGGGCACCCCAAAAAGAGACCCTAATTTTGACAACCGCGCATATATATTGAAGCCTGAGAGTTGAGCCAAGGATCACGTCAAGACTTTGAGACACCGGAAATTTCCGGAGCTCTCGGTGAAGGCGGGCGGTTGAAAGTTTAGGGGTTATAGGGCTCAGGCTTCAGGGCAGGGCCGGGCAGGGGGGCAAGGATTTAGCATCCTAGTATATAGCAGAGTATAGGTGACGTGTACTGTCATCCCTATATAGTCGCACTACTTATGCTCCCAAAGGTTTACCTTCAGTTCCTCTGGATACTCGACAATAAGTACGTCATAGTAGAGAGCCTCGCAGGAACCATAAGAACAACCCAGGTGCTTTCATGCCTTTCTGTGCGGCCCTGTGCGCAAGACGAAACTGCAGATAAAACTGGCCTTACGATGCAAGTGTAGCAATCGAGAACACATAAACATCTGCAGATTGCATGCATGTGCGCCAAGGAACGCCGATTCAACAAGCTAGCTATCCAGGGATGATGTGGGAATATGTTGAAGTTGGAGGCTGGGTAGGAAACCCTTTACCGATTTAGCGTAAATCACCAGGCTAGCCTTCTAGCCTGTAAGCTTCGTATAGTATACCCAAGGCTCTATTCTAAGTATTAAGGCCCCTCTATTAAAACCCTTTCAGCCCTTCCAGCCTTGGTGTTGAGGACGTGCTCTGGAGCAGCGCCCAAATCATGACCCGCGAGGCCAGACAGCGCTGCCAGGTATGAGGGTCTGCTTGAAGCGCTAGACTCTAAGCCCTGAACCCTAGGCCCTGAACACAGGGCCTAATTACATGGTTAGTTCATGGGTGGGTGTTGGGGATTCCTTATTGTTATAACTGTGGTACAAAGTACCCCCAAACCCTATTCTAATCATTAAGGCCCGTACTCTGGAAGCCTAAATAGTCACCAATACTATGGCTTAGGGTTCCTCATAAAAACCATACTATGAGATACCCCCACACCCTGTTTTAGTTATTACGGCGCCTCTGGTACGTCCCCTTCAATGCTCAAGCCTCTGCCGGAGGTGTGGCACACAGACCATCCCATTTCGGACGAGGGCGTGCCTGGGCTTTGGAGTACCATACTTTAAGACTTATTCTGGGACCTGTTTCTTAAAGGGAACGGTTAAAGGAACCCTACTATAGATCCCCTATAGACCCCTTTAAGGAACCCTTAGAGCAACCCCAGTCTTCTTATTAAGGCCCCTAAGTTAGAATGTAGGACCTGTTACTTAAAGGGAATCAATATAGCCTTAAACCCTAAACCCCTAAACCCCTGAACCCCTAACCCCCTAAACCCCTAAACCCTAAACCCTTAATCCCTAAACCCCTAAAACCCTAAACCCCTAAACCCTAAACCCTAACCCCTAAACCTTAAAACCTTAAACCTTAAACAAAAAGGCCCATTGCACTTAAAAAAAAGAAACCCTAAACCCTAAACCCCTAAACCCGGGCCACTTCAAAGCCCAGGTGCATCAGACGCAGGAGCTGAGACAGAAGATCGAGCAAGTCAGGCCTTTTTCTTACCTTTGCTTAGTAGGGAATGGGGCTCCTTTAAAGGGATCTATAGGGTTCCTTTAAAGGGATCTATAGGGGTCTAGGGTTCCTTTAAAGGGATCTTTACCTTTGGTTAGTAGGGAATGGAGGAATGGGGTACAATTTTAACTACTATTACTACCATTCTTCCATTCCCAACTAACCAAAGGTAAGTTTTGGGCAAAAGCAGTGGGCCCTCGGAGTTAGAATCGGCCTTTGGGGTACCTTGCACACGCAAAGTCAGGAATAATAGCTAGGAGTAAATAGTAGTATCGAATTCAGGCTTCTGAATTGGTATATTCTGAGCTTCGCCAGGCAGCAATCACTCTGCTCTGAACTGCAGCGTATTCGAGTGAAGCTGTCTCAGTCTGCGGCTGAGAACCGAAGCGTGTACTGAGAGGATCATGGGACTTAGTAAGTAAGGTTATAAGCAGGTTATAATTAGGATAACCCACTTAGGAGACCTATGACCCTAACTACAACCTACTTACTTAGTCCCATGATCCTCTAAGTAGGCTTGACGATACGTCTGCCCCGGACGCTCAGCCGTCCCCTCTCCTCTGTCGTTGTCGTTGTACAACTAGTATTGCGTTTATGATGTCATATACTGCAAACCCTGTCCTAATTGTTGAGGGACGTATCCTAAGCCGTTATTGGTAACCCTTGTAGACTGAAAAGCCTCTGCAGGTCCCTTCAAAATTAACACGATCCAACGATCTCAACCAATGTGCTACCTAGAGGATCATGGGACTTAGTAAGTAGGTTATAATTAGGGTTATAAGTCCCCTAGGTGGGGTTAGGGGTTATCCTAATTGTAACCTACTTATAGCCTTACTTGTGCACCTTGCAGGACTTGGGGCCCGACGAAGGGTCGAGGATGCAATAGAAGCCCAAGCAAGTCTTACCTAAACCAAAGTCTAATATACTATAGTAGTTCTCACCTAACCTAGTCGAATATACTATAGTACTTCTTACCTAAACCAAAGTCTAATATACTATAGCTATCATGTAATGGAATATGTGGAAAAGTATAACTAGTACAATGTAAGAGAATGTGATGTAATGTAAGGTACTGTACTGTAATGTCATGTGTAGTGTAGCCCATGTAATTCCTTGGGCTTGCGTGTCAAGCATAACAGGATATACCGCAGAACCATTTTCCGAATATCAACGCCCCTGAAAGTAGGGGTCAGAATGTCTAGCAGTAGGACCTAAAGATTAAAGATTTCGGTTTCCTAAACACTTAACACCAAATCCGAAGCACTAAATTCTATGTAGACCCTAAACCCAAACCAAAAAAACCCATGCAAAAGCATGGCGAGAGAATCTGCTCTAAGCTCCAAGTCCTAAGCCCCAAAACCAAACCCTAAACCCTAAAACCTTGAAGCCCCAAAGCCCTAAACCCTAAACCCTAAAGCCCTAGAGCCCTTAACCACCACAACGCTCTAAACCCTGAAGTCCTAAAGCCCTAAAATCCTGAAGCACTTAGCCCGCGCAAAGCCTAAAGTCCTAAAGCCCTAAACTCCAAAGAAATTTCTCCGAGAGGCTCTGTGGCCCGGACCAGTTTCATGGCGCCTTGCACGGTAAGGCGGCAGGCAACATCAAGAGGCACGGCCCTTTCTTTAGGGTTGAGGGTTTAGGGGTTGAGGGTTTAGGGTTTAGGGTGGGGCATGAGGCTGAAGGGTTGAAGATCTAGGATGTGAAGGGTTCATGAAGGGGCTCTCCTTTCATGGTGCCGGGTTTAAGGTTTAGGTTTAAGGTTTTGGGGTTTAAAGTTGAAGGTAGACAGGGAGAAGGATCACGTGGGGACTCTTGTTTCGGATTCCCCACCTCCCTTCAACCTTGGCTACTGCCCCCCGTCAGTAAAAGTGGAATTATATTCATGATGTAGATATACATATCATCTGTCTATATATATATATATATATATGTACAAGGCCCTTAATAGTAGCCCCATTACGGACTGTTACCGTCTGGGGGCAGGACTCAACTTCAACCCACCTTTGGAGCCTTGAGGTTTCTGCTGAGGGCCTGCGCAGATGGTCTTCGTGACTTCATGGCGCCTCCTCCAACTGAGTTCTTGCAGAAAAATCTGATATGAGCATTTTGCATATGTGTGTGTGTGTGCATATGTACATACAGGTACAGATATACACAGACACTGATCTTCCTCTGATTGCAACTTTCAACTTGCACGTCAGCAAGATACCCGCAATGCTCATGTGGAATGGTGTTCTTTGCGTTTCTGG